GAAAAAAAAAATTCTTTATCGTATTTGAATTGTTAGGCGTTTTGAGAATTTTCAATGGTTTGTTTCAAAGATGGGGAAGATTGCTATATTTTCCCACATAGTTTGGGGTGGTAGTTGAGAGGTTTTAGAAGATAATTTTAGAAGTGTTATTTGTGATTGAATCCTAATTTAACAATATGTGTCGTTTGTGTAGGTTGTGAAATTATTGTTACACATTGTTATTAATATTATTATTATTGTTATTATTATTGTTATTATTGTCATCTTTTCATTTAGACGTTTATACCTACTGCAAGGAGCGTTGAATCAGTGCGAGTGGCGTGTCACCGAGTTGTGGAGTCGTTTGATGAAGTTGTGTGAGCCGGCCATGATGGAGTCGTATCAGAATATGCGTGAGCGAATCGGTTCGTGTATCGCGACGATTGTGTGGTTCGATTTGGCAGATCTCTACGTCGATCCACAAGTGCCGAAGAAATTCCATCCACCACGTTTAGCCAATATTATGGCTGATATTAATTCGATGGTATGCGGGATTGATCGATCGTTTCGTATATTGCTTATTGCTTGTTAGGGCATTTTAGATTCTCGCTCGATTTTGTTGGAGTTGAAGTGAATGGACACTCACTATCAGTTCTATGGGGGAAATAAGGACACTTTGGAGAAACTGGGCGATTTTATGAGCGTTTTGCAATGATCACTTCAGAGTGTTGTGAATTTGATGGTGTTGAATGAACGATTGAATTCAATGATCAATGTTGGAGAATGCAAACGGAATGTTTCTGACGGAATATTTATTTATTTTTAGATGGAGATTCTGTGGTCAGAAGTTGCCGAAGCGAAAAGAACCGAGGAGGAATGCATGGAAACGGATGGCACTCATGAACACACCAGCAATAACAACACCAATAATCATAATTCGTCATCGGATGAAGAAGGCGATCGTAAGAAGGTGAGAGGTGTAAAGTATCGGTGTGAATCTGATGAAGGTGTTGCCCTCGTATGGGTTTATTTAGAGACTTTGAAAAATGCATTTTACAGGCAGTAATGGTTTTCAAAGCGTTGCTGAATTATTTGAATGCGCACTGGATACACTCATTCTGTTCGCTGCCACGTCCAATATTTAATTTGTTGCCGTTGTTGATACATTTTGAAAATGAAACAAGGTTGTCATTGATTGTATTTGTTTATTTATTCATTTTTCGTTTAGAATTGTATTCGTTTTTGTTGTGATTGAGATAGGTGAAGCGATGATACGATGAAGAGAATGCGGAATGCGGAGAAAGAGATCAACTTTGTAAAGTTACACCCATCACCACAATGAACTGAGCGTTTGTTTCAGTGATGAAGAGTTGAAGAAGAGTTGTCGTTATCAGCTGAGACAAGGCATGTCACAGACAATGATTACGAGCGCAAATGTATCGATGGTGATTAGTGGTGCTCGAGAGGTGGGTATTTTGTTGTTGTGGTGGTGGTGCTCTTATTTAGTCGACGGTGAATGTATTTGAGACTGAAACGGCATTCAGTAGATTGTGACTGACTACATTTGGGCTCAAATGAACCCTTTTTGATTGATGTTGCAGTTGGCATCGTCGTCATCGTGTTGGTGGAAGGCGAAGGTTTCACTGCTGAAATACCTTCAAGTAGCGATCTTCTCGAATTTGTTCGTGTTCCTTGAGCATCGTCCCGCGTTGAAGCAGATCTTCTTCGCGTTACTTCTCGACGAACGACTTGAGGTTCGTGAGACGGCCGCCGAATCGATTTCGGGTCTGCTGCATTGTCACTTCTTCGACGTTGACGATTCGCTCATTGTAAGTTGTCTTTATGTTGTTTTTGTGCTCATTAAATGAAGTGTTGATGCGTGATTGAAGATGTTTTGAATAATGAAGTGTTGATGTGATTATATGATCTTTTGCCTACTTTCATTGAGATTTTTAAAATTTTATTTTTGGCTTTTGATTGAAACATTTTGATTTTTGTTGTCGAGTTTTCAGAAGAAATTCTGCTCATGGTCTCGAGCCGAGAACGGCCCCAAACGTCACGCAGGTGTGCTGGCACTGTCGGCCGTTGTTCAGGCATACCCTTACACTGTACCTCCGATATTGCCGAATGCTTTAATGCAACTGTGTCGTCATGCCACCGATAAACAACCCATGCAGGTATTAGGATTCGACTGATTTGTNTAAAATGATGCAGTCAATAATGACTGCTGTGCGTTTTGTTTCTTCAACTGTTGTTCCGTTGAATGACTCCAATGCTTTATCTTATTTAGGCTTGTTCTCAGAAATATTTAATGATTTTCGGACCATTTATTCAAGAAGTATCTTATTTGAAAGCAGTTGGTAATTGATTGGCATTGAATGAACTTTTCATATCATCGATATCGTAATGAATTGAGTATGTTCCATTGATTAGTGACATTTTCTGCAGGGAACCGTGAAAAAAGCGTTGAGTGAATTCAAACGAACACATCAAGACTGTTGGCATGAACATAAGACGCAGTTTAGTGAAGATCAACTGGCAATATTGACCGACCTTCTTGTTTCTCCAAATTATTACGTTTGATTGATGATCGTCGATTAGTGATGATGGATGAATGGCAACTGAGAATTTTCATATTTTCAATCGTTTTGTTTTCTTTCATTTCAGTTTTCATTTTTCAGCATCTTTCATTGATTGATTTTGTTCTAATCGTTTAGCCTCATAGTACGAAATCAGTCCTCTTTTTATACTTTGTAATGATTACTCGTGTATTTATTATTATTGTT